ATAAATAAATTCTTACTCTATATAAAAATAAAAATCTCTCTCACGTTAATAACCTCTAATTTGACTGATCCATAAGTTTTACTAATAGAGACCTGTCCAGGATAATTTTGCCGTCCTCGATGAATAATTCATCTGCGACACGTGCCATTAAATTTAAAGTCATAACTGTGAATTAATATTTGAAAAGATAACAAAAAGCCTTGAATTGCTCCAATTATATGCGTAATGCATGATGCTTTACTAGAGAGAATTATTGGTTGGGGAATAAGAATATGGTGACTGAAAATAGAGGCTTAAAATCAAAGCATTTATTTAGGGGATCCATCAATTATTTTTCTTCAAAAACATAAAAAATTAGGTACCATCAATTGGGATTTGGGACTTTGGATTATATATTCCTTAGTTTAGCTCTCCTAGGGTGATCCGAAGTCAAAGAGGCATATAGGTATTGTTTGGTAAATATAAAAGTGATTAAATGTGGATGAGGTGACTTGGGGTATCCCCTTTTTACTCGTGCTACGAAGAACAACCAGTTCACTATGAGCTGGTAAAGTAGCACAATTATCATTCTTTTTTTGTAAGAAAAAATTAATGAACCATATATAGGCTAATAAGTTTTTCATTTTTCTTCTATTTTATTGATTGAATCTAATGTGAATCACCTATTTTTTACTAAATTGAAAGTAGACAATGTGCATTGTGTGAAAATTGAACCACTTATGTACCTAATATATATATATATATATATATACACACACACTAAACCACTTACGTTTATTAAAAAAAGAAGAAGCTATTTGAACCATTTATATGTATGAGTATGGAATTAATTAGCAGACCAAATTAATACTTACTAGGTTAAAATTTTTAATTTTTTTAAATTTGAAATTAAGTTTAAAAGTTTAACTTTTTGTATTATCAAATAATTAATTTTTGATGTATTAAAAAAATGAAATTAATTAAGGGATCTAATAGTAAAAATATAAAATATCAATAAATAAATAAATTTTATTATCAAAGAATTGAAAAAAGGGGAATCTCGAGGGGGGGGGGGTTCAAACTTTTAATGTTACGTGATTAAAAAGTTAGATATATATTGAGCAGAAATTTTTCGGTTGTTGAATTTTCTGAGCTGATTCAATTTGCTTTGCCATGTGATTTATTGTTATTGTGAACCATACTCCCCTTTCTAAATGCATTTAGTGAACTAAGTAGTAATGATGATAACTTATTACATTTCAATGTATTTAATAATGATTAATGCTCACTTTTTTAATACAGGATGATGATTTTTCATTTAGTGGGTGAGTAATTTTGGTAAGGTTAAATGCTCATTTTGGTCCCTTAACTTTATCAATTTGCACATTTTTATCCATTAACTCTAAGAAATGCACAATGTTTGTCTTTACGTCACTTAGGGCGTTAACTTCGCTCATGTGCCATTTTTTATATATTTCTTTGATGACATGGAGAAAACAACTTAAAAAGGTAATGATTTGGATTTTTTTTTTATGACATGTCCCAACGCCAACTCATGTATTTATATTTTAAATAAAAAATCACAATTTTCTCGTCAAATTTTTTTAACAAAACAGATTGAAACTATTTTCTCAGCAGCCAAACACCCAAACAGTACAATTTTCTAGCCAAACAAAGGAAACCCACTAAAAATTGCTTCCTTGCCCATTGATTACTGCTTCTGTTCTTTCCATTGCCGACGATGTTCTTTCCATTTTGAACATTAAAATTATTTGGACAATAGTTAGGAAATATGAAGCAAAAGGATTCCAAAAATCCCTCACAACCTGCAATTTGCATAAACTCAGCAAAAGGATCCCAAAAATCCCTCACAACCGACAATTTGCCTAAACTCTTGGCAACAAATATATAACAAAAAAAAAAAGAAATGGGTTCGATGGAACCCAGTTGTTGGGTTCCTCAAACCCAACAAATCTGGGTTCTAGGTTCTAAGTTTGAGGGAACCTAGCAACACAGAGGAGGAAGAGAGAATAGGAAGAAGAGGAGGAAAGAAAAAGAAGAAGGAAAGGAAGAAGATGGATCGAAAGAGGGGAAGAAGATGGGTCAAGAAGGGGAGATAGGGGTATTAAGGTAATTTAGAATTGTAATTTTGATTAACATAAATAATTATAGTTTAATGATAATTAGTTTAATTATAAATCTGACTTGGCATTATTTTTTATCCATATAAGCATTTAGATTTAATTTAATTTGTTATATCATTAAAAAAATATAAAAATGCCATGTAAATTTGTCACGTTATTAAAAAAAGGTTTAAGTACCATTTTAGTCCCTCAACTTTTCATTTTGGTACCAAAATTGTCCCTCAGCTTTAAAAAACACCAAAATTATCCTCGAACTTTCATTTTCAATACCAAAATGGTCCTTTCATCAGTTAAATGACAGGTGGCTCGTTAAAATGCCACAAAATCATTAGATTTTTTAAATCTTAATGACGGGTAAATCCAGCTATGAAAATTTTGCTTACATGGCATTCTTTTTTGTACAAGTGGCATATTTTTTTACGCATCATATTATCACATTTTAAACTTTCCCTTTTAATGGGGCCCACGTGAAACTTTTTTAACTTTTCTTATTCTCTCTCTCTCCTCTCTTCCCCTCTTCTTCTTCCTCTCCAGATCTGGGTTTCGTTTGATCAAACCCTTAATATCAAGTTATCTTCGTTTCTCTTTTCATTTCCTTTTCAGATTCAAAACCCTAAACCTACTACTTCTGCGAATTTAAATTAAAACCCACATATTCTCTCTTCCCCTCTTTTCTCCTGCTTCTGACTACCTTCACCAGTGCTTCGTGGTTTTGATCAGAAGCCCTGGGGCTTCCGAGTTTTTGGTGCTTGAGCGGCCGGGCTCTTCGGCTGCTCAAGCATGATGGAGCCGACTTCGTGCTCCTTGTTCCGATGGCTCTTTGTGGCCTGTCGGTTTTGTGGCCCCTTTGGTGGCTCTTTTTGTTTTATGTTTTATGTTTTCTGCTTTGGTTTCTTGGGTTCTGCTTTTCTGTTTTCTTGTTTGCTTGCAGATCCGGCGGCCTACCTCTCTTTTCGGCAGATCTGTGGCGGTGCTTGCTGGGTTCTCCAGATCTGGCGCCCATCGCGACCCTCCTGTTGATTTTCCGAGGGATGGTCTTCGGTTGCCAGGGTTCTCGCCTCGGCATCCTGGAGTCTGGCTGCAACCTCTAAATGGGTGGATAGAAGGGTGTACCGCTGGATCGCTCGACCGAAGGCACCCTTGGTCCTTTGTGGTTGGCCGAGTGCACGATGCACCTCCCTTCA